GATTTATGTCTCCGTTTCCCTGTTTTAAGCTTTGTTCCATGACTGATGAATCCACCAGCAACTCCTTGGAAACCCTATGGGGTAGTTCCACTCTGTCCTATAGGGTTGCTGTGAGTCAGAATCAACTCTATGGCAATCGGTTTTGTTTGGGTTTACCTAGGTTGGTATCTGGCTAGTTCTGTCCTGTGTCCTAGACTTCTGTTTTTGTCTGATGTTGTTGGTTCTCTAACTGAAGGACTCCTTTTAATATTTCTTGTAAGTTTAATTTAGTTTTTATGAAGTCCCTTAATCTCTGTTTATCTGGAAATGTCCTAATTTCACCATCCTATTTGAGAGAGACTTTTGCAGGATATAGCATTCTTGGTTAGCAGTTTTTTTTTTTTTTTCCTTTCAAGGTTTTATATATGTTGTCCCATTGCCTTCTTTCTGCATAGTTTCTGCCAAGTAATCAGAGCTTAGTATTATTGTTTCCCCTTTGTAAGTGATTTTTCGTTTTTCTCAAGCTACTATCAGGATGCTGTCTTTGTCTTTGATTTTGGCCAGTGTGATTATGACATGCCTTCGTACAGAGAAGTGGGTAGGGCAGCAGCAGGCATGGTGAACCCATTTCTCTGTACACTGGCTTGGTGAAGTGGCTGAGGGGTGACTGGGTGGGCTCTGTCTGCCTCCTGCTGTTGGTCCAGCAGTGTGGGAGCATTCATAGCCCCTCACCAGATAGGCAGGGGTATCAGATGGGGAGTTGCATGGGCTCACTTCCCACCATTCAGCAGCTGGTCGAATGGCAGGAGGGGAAGGGCAGTGTGGGCCTGGTGTGGCAGCAGGCCTGAGCACCAGGAATGCTCTAGCCATGGGGGCACAGAGGGTGCTGGCGGGAATGGGTGGTGGCATATGAGGCTAGGTGGGAGGAGGAGAAAGAAAAGAGAGGGAAAGAAAGAAAAAAAAGGAAAAAAATGGTAGCTGGTGGGTGGGGGCGGGGAGGACCTGGGCGCCAGTAGGAAGGAGGAGAGTTGGCATATGGGGCTAGGTGGGAGGTAGAAAGAAAATAAAGAAAGAAAAAGAAAAAAGAATAAAATAAATGGTGGTACAGCGGGGGCCAGTGTGTGGGGGTGGGGCAGACCTGGGGCAGTGGTGGGCCAGTGACTCTCTAGCTGTGGCAGCACAGCATGGCCCATTGGGAAGGGGTGAAGGGGACATACGGGGCTAGGTGGAAGAAAAAAAGGGAAAAAAGAAAAAAAATGGCATACAGGGCCAGCTGGTGGTGGCGTGGTTGATCCAGGGCGGCGGTGAGTCGGAGGCTCTGTAACCAATGCAGTGCAGCGTTGCCTGGTGGTGAGGGGTGGAAGTGGCATAGGGGGCTAGTGGGAGGGAGAAAGAAAAGGAAGAAAGAGGGAAAAATGACATGGCAGGAGCTGATGCGTGCGACCTGGGAGAGCAATGCAGTGTGGCCTGTCAGGAAGGGTTAGCCGTCACATACAGGGCAGAAGGGTGAGGGATGGGAAAGCATGTTTCTGTGGTTACCAGGTGCTTTGTCTCCTGTTAGGAGCTCCGTGAAGTTGCCTTCCCATACTCCCTGTCCGGGGTGGTTGCTGGCTGTGTTCCAAGATGGCGACACTCTGCCATGTTAGTTGGCAGGGGACCTTCACTCTGTATCTCTCCTTGTTCTCTGTTTTCCATTGGTTTTTAACTCCATTCAGTGTTTAATCTAGTTCTTTATCCCTTCATTTGATGCTTAGGGTTCCGGGATTCACATTAGTATCTGTTTTATTTAGTTTTTTGGGTCTTTGTTGCAGAGGGATGACATGTTGCTCCTGTCTATGGTGCCTGTTGGCTCCACCCCCTCATCTTCATTATTTCGTATATCTGAGCCCATTGTTGTGGCTATTGTGTCAATCCACCCCGCTGAGGGTTTCCCTTGTTTTCCTTGGTGCTGGATTTTACCAAACATGATGTCTTTTTGTAGCTATTGGTCTTTTCTGATGGAATACATTGTTTGATTTCTTGACTGCTGCTTCCATAGATGTTGCAATCAACATGGCTATATTAATATGGGATAAAGTAGAACAAAAAAACTATTCAGAGATAGAAAGGAACATTACATAGTGATAAAAGGATCAATCGGACAAGACATAGCAAACCTAAATATGCATGCACTAAAAAAAAAAACACGCAAAATATGTAAAGCAAAGACGAATCACATTGAAAGGAGAACTACACACAATTAGGAGTTGAGGACATCAACACTCCTCTCTTAACTGATGGGACAACTAGGCAGAAAATCAGCAAGGATATATAAGAAGTCAACAACACCATCAACCAACAGGATCTACTTGACATTTATGTAACATTTCACCCAACAGCTAACAGGATCTAACTGACATTTGTATAACCCTTCACCCAACAACAGAAGAATATACATTTTTTTCAAGGACTCAAAGGGTATATACCAAGGTAGACTATATCCTGAATCATAAAACAAACTTCGACAAATTTAAAAGAACTGAAATCATATAGTGTGCTTTCTGACCACAATGTAATCAACTGGGAACCATCAGCAAAAAGATAACAGGAAAATCTCCAAAAAATTGGAAACTAAAAAGCATACTTCTAAATGATATATAGTTCAAAGAGAAAGTCTCAAGGGAAATTCAATAAATAAATAAATTGAACTGAAGGTAAATGCAAACGCAACATACAAAATGCATGGGACACAGCTGAAGCAGTGCTGAGGCGAACATCTGTAGCACTAAATGCCTCCTTTAGAAAAGGAGAAAGGTCCGAAGTCAATCATTTGAGCTCTCCCCTCAAGAAACTGGAAAAAGAAGAGCAAAACAAACCCAAACCAAGCAAAAGGAAGGAAATAATAAAGAGCAGAAATCAATACAATTGAAAACAGAAAAAGCATGGAGAATATCAGTGACACAAAAGGCTGATTCTTTGAAAAGATCAACAAAATTGACAAGCCTCTAGCAAGACTGACACAGGTAAAAAGAGAGACCCAGATAAGCAATATCAGGAATGACACAGACTGGGCATATATCAGAAAGATCATAAGGGAACATAATGAACTCAACACACATCAATCTGACAATTTAGAATGAAATTCCTCAGAAATTACAAGCTACCGTAACACTCAGTAGGAAATAGATTATCTGAATAGCCTGGTACTGAGTAGTTCCAACACCACAAGGATCCCTCCTGGGAAAAACAAGATGGCAAACGGGATGGATAATTAAGCGAGATGGGAAAACTGCCGGGGAGGTGTCACCCAACACCACCCCAGCTACCCAGAATGCTCAAGCTCTGGAAAGGACACTGAGCTTCCCAGAGGTGTGGATTTGTGGAATGGGGCCTTAAATCCATTCATCTGGATACTAAAGTAGTGACTTAATGGGGCTGGATGATGTAGGGATACCTGGTTACGCTTACTTACTGAAGATGTGTTCATCCAATTTCCAATAAATATGTGATGTGTAACAAACTTTGTGTAAGTCGGGATAAAGCGCTGAAGGAATGGACGTGGTCCCTGTGTCAGGAATTAGGGTTAGGACCGTACTTCTCTCCATGTGGACCATTTGTATCAGGACCAGCTGGAAGCTTGTTAAACAGATCTCAGGGCTCTTCCCAGACCTACTGGGTGAGACCCTCTGCCGCTGGGGACCAGGAATCTCCATTTTCGAACAGCAGTAATTCTCGTATACAATTAAAGTTCAAGACAATTCATTGAAAAGGACTCACATAATTTTTACAACTGTATTTACATTCTGTTTTATGCTTCCATTTTTCGGAAAACTTGAAAACCGAGCGAAAATTAAATCAAAGAAAATTTAAGAGGAAAAAAACACTGAAGAAATGAGCATTCTAAAGACTTTTCAAAATGACAGGCGTGGTATGGGAGAAATCCCACAGTAAAGTACCCCTAGCGCTAACCTTAAGGAGCCCTTGTGGCGTAGTGGTTAAGTGCTTGGCTGCCAACCCAAAGGTAAGCGGTTTGGGCGACTTCCGTCAAGATTACAGCCTTGGAAACCCTATGGGGCAGTTCTGCTTTGCCCTGTAGGGTCACCATGAGTTGGAATCTGCTTGATGGCAACAGGTTTAGTGCTAACCTTGAGGAACCTGAGAGCCTAGATCCTGGAAAGGGTTGCCTGGTTTTGGTACACTGAAAACTATATTATGGTTTTTGAAGTTTTTAAAAATATACATTATTTAATAATTGTTTGCATTTCCACGGGGATTTTTTAAGGACAAAAAACAAAACCAAACCCATTGCCATGGAGTCAATTCCAACTCATAGCGACCCTATGGGACAGAGAAGAAAGGCCCCACAGGGTTTCCAAAAGCGGCTGGTGGATTCCAACGGCCGACCTTTTGTTTAGCAGCCGAATGTTTAACCACTGCGCCACCAGGGCTCCTTCTTAGGACAAAGTAGTCAAAATTTACCAACTTGTAAAGGTTTGTGGATTCTCTGGCCATTGTTAAAAGGTGAACCTTGTAAATGTTATCAGAATAAGGAAAGCAGTTCCATTTTCCCCTGCACACCAGGACATGCCCACATCTGCAGGGCCTTCTGCGCCCCCTGCCGGTGCTAACGACCTGGCCGGCCCAGCGCAAGGAGGCTGATTAGAACTTTGAGCAGGTGGTGACCCCCAGACAGGGAGGTGGGACATGGGAGGGCGACCCCGGGCAGGGAGGTGAGACCTGGGACGGCGACCCCCAGACAGGGAAGTGGGACCTGGGTGACCCCCTAGACAAGAAGGTGGGACCTGGGAGGACAACCCCGGGCAGGAAGTGGG